GGGGTAAAGTGTGCACAAAGAACCCCTTTTGTAAAATTTCAGACAATTCCGTTGAAAAATGTGGCTAAAATCATCAAAATACCGATTATCGGGGGGTACTGTTATATGGGGTTTATATAGACAATTCCCTTTCAGGGTGGAACCCCTTGTGTAGAATTTTAGACAATTCCGTCGCAAAATAGGCTAAAATCATCGACATACCGAATATCGGAGGGTACCGTTATATGGGGCATATACGGTATCGTGGACCTATATAGACAATTCTCCTTCAAGGGGTAAAGTGCCCACAAAGAACTCCTCGAGTGGATTTTCAGACCATTCTATTAGAAAATGTGGCTAAAATCATCAAAATACAGAATATCGGGGGTACCGTTATATAAGGGCTATACGATATCGTGGACCTATATAGATAATTCTCAACCGTGGGATATAGTACTTACAAAGAACTCCTTGTGTAGAATTTTAGACAATTGCATTGAAAAATGTGGCTAAAATCATCAAAATACCGAATATTGGGGGGTACCGTTATATGGGGGATATAAGATATCGTGGAACGATATAGCCCATCTTCGAACTTTACCTGCCTCCAGCCAAAGAGAGATCTGGGCAAAATTTTATCTTTCTATCTTAATTCGTTTAGCTTGGAGCGTGATTGCAACAGACGGACAGGGTTAAATCGTCTTAGAATTTTACGCTGATCAAGAATTTATATACTTTGTTGGGTCTAAAATGATTATTTCGATGAGTTACAAACGGAATGACGAACTTAATATACCCTACATACTATGTATGTTTTATATTAAATACTAAACTAACTAAAAAAGCTGTAAGTTCGGCCGGGCCAAACTTTGAATACCCTCCACCGTTTGGAAGGAATTTGGCAATTTTCAAAAAAAAAAAAATATAATCCGTTAAAAATTCTGTTAAAATCTTAAAAAATACCGATTGTAGCTGTTCTATTAGGGTCTATACGACGACGTGGGCCTGCAAAGGTAACTTTTGTTATACGCCATAACAATATTCAAATGTGAAAATTGAAAAAAAATCCTTGAATAATGAAGCTAAGATCATAAAATATCGAATATAGAGAGGTACCATAGGGGTTATATCAAAACGTGGACCTGCGCAGACACTTTTCTGTCATAGGCTGTAGGATCCATTGCCAACTTCAAATACCAAATTTGAAACGATTCCGGTGAATAATGTTATTGAAATCACCAAAATACCGAAAATAGGGAGGTACCATTATATGGGGGCTATACCAAAACGTGGACCTACATGGCCCATTTTTAATACCAAAAGTCCTGCAGACATAATAAACATTTGAGTAAAATTTTATCAACCTACTTCATCTCATTCGGAAGCTAGAGTGTTTTTTTTACAGACGGATAGACGGACGAACATCGCTAAATCGACATAGAATTTTATTCTGACCAAGTGGGGTCTAAAATGTAAATTTCGAGGTGTTACAAACGGAATGACAATCTTAATATACCCTCCATACTATGCTGTATAATAAATATCTAGGGTATAATAAATTAATTAAAATGTTTACCCTTTATTTGGATGGTACCGAAAGAGTGGGCAAATATGTTCTATTTCCCATATGACACAAGTCTGATGTAATTATTGCGACGTTGCAAGTTTACATTACATCGACTACATCCTCCCCTTTATGTCAGCTAGTTGTACATATTTTAATTTCGATCTAAGTTTCACAATAATATTGGGGTATACCAAGTTTGGACCAAAACGGTTACTCCTTTTGAGAGTTATAGTGCCTACCAGTCAGACGGTCGGGTGGACGGACATCCTATATCGACTCCAAATGACCTGGCACAGATTTGGTCCAAACAAACCTAGGGTCTAAAACCGTTATTTCGGTGAAGCGTATGTAGCGTATGGCTCCACCATACTATGGTGGGTATATTAACTTTGTCATTCCGTTAGTAACTTCTCGAAATACTCATGTCAGACCCAACATAGTATATATATTCTTGATCAGCGTAAAATTCTAAGTCGATTTAGCTTAGATGTCCGTCAGTCAGTCTGTCTGTCCGTCTGTCTGTTGTAATCACGCTATCTTTCGAACGAATTGAGGTAGAAGGCTGAAATTTTGCACACGTGTTTATTTTTCGAGTATGAAGGTTAAGTTCGTAAATGGTCCACGTTTTCATATAGCCCCCATATAAAGTTACCTCCCGATATTTGGTATTTTGATGATTTTAGCGACATTATTCACCGGAATTGTTTCAAATTTGGTATTTGAGATTCGTAATGGATACTACAGCATATGACAGAAAATTGTCCGTGCGAAATTGTCTTTGTATAGCCCCATTTAACGGTACCTCTCAAAATTCGGTATTTTGATGAATTTAGCGTAATTATGTACCGGAATTGTTTCAAATTACGTATTTAAAGTTCGTAATGGGAACTACAGTCTGTTACAGAAAATTGTCTATTCAGGTCCAGGTCTTCGTATAAATCAGTACCTCCCTATATTCGGTATTTTGAAGAGTTAAGGTACAATACCCACTGAAATTGTTTGAGATGTCGTATTTGACGTTCGTAATGGATGCTATAGCCCGTGACAGAAAATTGTTTATGCTGGTTCAGGTCTTCGCACAGCTCCGATATAACGGTACCTCCCTATATACGATATTTTGATGATTTTAGCTACATTATTCACCGTTTATTTCAAGTTTCGAATTTGAATTTGGTAATGGCTTAAGACAAGCCAGGCCTATGTAGGTCCACGTCGTATAGACCCCAATATAACGACTATATTCGGTATTTTCAAAATTTTAACAGAATTTTTTAAGGATTTTATTTTTTGAAAATTTCCAAATTAGTTTCAATTGCTGGAGGATATTTAAAGTTCTACCCGGCCGAATTTATTGCTTTTTAACTTGTTATTAACAAACCCTGTTATAAAGATGGTAGAGATCGGGCCAATCCTTTTGGTACCTCCCCCACGAAGAGTCAAAGTTTTGAATAACTAAAATCCGAAATAAACATACGGTTCTCTTCACATTTTACACATTGCATTATTTCTACTAACACAAGATCTGCTGTAAAGAGGGAAAAATTGGTATCGGTATCTGGTACCTTCGCCATAAAGGGTTAAAATTTGTATATTCATGAAGCTCATAAAACGCGAAATTAACATCCAATTCCATTCAGACTTGGTACATCTCAATATTTCTATCAACACAAGATCTGTCATAAAGATGGTAGACATCGGACCCTTTCTTTAAAAAACAAAACGCTCAAAGAAAGCCAGATAGGCATCCAAATCTCATCAAATTTCAAACATCCAAATATTTTTGCTATCGCAGGATCTGTTGTGAAGATGATATATATCTGCGAACCCCTTCTGATACCTCACACACAAAGGGTCACAATTGATTATAACTTGCTATATCTAAATATTTCTCTCCACCAGAAACTTGAGATGAACATGGAATTTATGATTTTGCATAAAATTGGATATGAACATTAGATTTTCTTGTAATTTTGCCCATAACAATATTTTTATCTACATTAGATTAAGTATAACCAGTAAAGAAAGTCTTAAAGTCGGGCGGGCCGACTTTATGATACCCTACACCATTTTGCTAATTAAGTAGAGCTCCACATAACAATTAAAAGTTTTTATGGGAGAATTCAATCATACACGCTATGATTATAATTATAATTTAAAGTTCAAAGGACTAAATATGCCGAAGCATTTGTATCTTTTAAATTCGGACTTGTATTGCCCATTTGGTGCACAATTAATTTGAAATCGGATAAAGATATATATGTGAGCTTTATCCAAATCTGAACCGACCTCGATAAAATTTGGCAAAGATATTTCTGAGCTGTATTTGATATATTTCCCTGAATATCGTTGTTACGGAGTGGGTAACGAATCTGATATACTAGCTTCTAGAATCAATTCGGTCGTAAGTGCCAAATTCCATCCCATTTGGACAAATATTAGACGTTTGGTCCACAATAAAAGGTAAATCGGACGAAGTTATATATGGGAGCTACATCCAAATCTGAACCGATCTCGATAAAATTTAGCAAATGTATTTCTGAGCTGTATTTGATATATTTCCCCAAATATTGTTGTTGCATAGTGCATATTACGGCGGCGGTGGACAAAAATAACAAATCGGATGAACAATATATATGGGAGCTATGGCTATATCTGAACCGATTTCGATCAAATTTGGCATACATATTTTCAGGCCTAATTTGGATGTATATGCCATACAATTCGGGCTGATATTACACGTTTGGTGCACAATAAAAGGCAAATCGGACGAAGATATATATGGGAGCTATATCTAAATTTTTACCGATTATCTCCAATTTCAATAGGGTTCGTCCTTGGCCAAACAAAAGATCTTTGCAAAATTTCATCTGGATCGGGCAATAAATGCGACCTGTACTTTGTTTGCAAAAATACATTGACAGAGGGACGGACGGACGGACATGCATAAATCGACTCAGAATGTGATTCTATGCAGATCATCAAAAGGAACTATGGGTCTAACCCGTTTCCTTCTGCCTGTTACAAATAAATGCACAAAGACATAATACCCTGACCACCTTGTGGTGTAGGGTATAAAAATGGAGTAGTTCGGTCGACTGCACCTGGCACCTCAGGCTCATTTTAACATTTTCAAAAAATTAAGGCATATCTCATATCAAGTTTAATCTTAATCAAGTTTAATGAAGGATATAACCTATATAATAAAAACCTGGTACGATGCTATATTTATTTCATATTTAATTAGGTCCGATACGAAATGGAAAATATTGGTCCATTCCTACGGAGCCTACACCATAGAGGATCAAAAATTTGAAATTTGAATCATAATAGAAGTCAAAATATATTTGAAAAATCGATTGACGGTATACGACTGATACTTTGTAACTCGTTACACTTTTTTATTGTACACATAATTTAAAAAAAATCAAACTTATTGATACTTGAAATAATTCTATTTTGGGGAAAAATTGCATTTTCAAACTCAACTACTGTGACATATTCGAAATACTTCTAATTACATAAATCATTAAAACTAAGATTAAAAACAATTGTGTAAATATGTAAAATAGAGTTGTCTTATTCGACTTTTGATCCCCGGGCCTGCAGAAATGTAAACATCCTATAGGCAATCATCATGGTCTGAAAACAGAACAAATATATTTAATAAAAAAAAATTCTAGAATTTATTTTAACATCAATCAACACTTACCCCTCTAAAGTGAACCATGTCAATGCTAAACAAATTATAGCCACACAAAGTAAATGGTCTGCTGGCGAATAACAAAAAATGTACGACGAATTTACGATATTCCAATGTCGCATCGTACCAGTTTTGCTCAAATATAACCTGGCTCATGTTGGTGGTCTGAAAATTAAAACATATAAATATTACAGCAGATAGTAGAATAATCTAAAATGATATTCTTCATTTATTTCACAACATACCACATTTTCAATCCGCGAACCCTGATAACAATTATCGAACGCAAATGCCACCTGAACAAAACATGGAAATATGAATAAAGTGATGGCGATAACATCATCCGTATTCGCTATCAAATAGATGTGGAAACAAATCGACGCACCACTAATGAGATCGGTTAGAAAGAGTGGTAGATTGAAGGTATTTCGAAGTTTGTTACCCAACCTAAGAATTAAAAAAAAAAAGATTTGTTAGTAGAATGTAAGTTTAAATTTTGGGGTTTCGTGTTATATACATGACCACATGAATGCTATTTATGAAGTATACAGGGTGAGATGAAAAAACTGCAACCAACTTCAGACGGCTGTCATTTCTAAGCCTCTCCTCCGGCAGCATTTGAAATTATTCCAGTGAAAGCTTATTATATTGTTTACAAGCGTACAAAGTCATTTTGGTGAGAATTTTCCAGACAAAAATGTTATTCGTGATGGAATTCAAGCGTGATAGTGTGATTTCTTTTTATTTAGCTGGAAAACCACAAATGGCTATCGATAGAGCACTCCAGCATTTAAATATGAATAAATCCTTTGTGTCTCGTACCATCGCTCGTTACCGTGATACTGGTAGTGCAGCCCGACCTTAAGGAAGTGGACGGAAAAAAACAGCAGAAATGGTTCGAAAAGTAAAGAAGCGACTTGATCGAAACCCGCGTCGCAGTGGCCGAAAAATAGCTCGTGAGCTGAACATATCGCAATATTCCATTCGGCAAATATTGAAAAAAGAGCTCGGGGTAAAGCCAATGAAATTCCAAAAAGTTCAAGAACTTAGACCGCAACAGAAAGAAAATAGATTAAAAGAGCTAAAGAGTTTTGTCGCTTATCCAAAAGTGGTGAACTGCCGAATTTGGTTTCTCCGATGAGAACACATTCGTTGTTCAGCAATTTGTATACAAACAAATGATCGTGTTACTGTCAAAGAGGTCAGATCCAAGGTCTCTTTGGATGAAATCTGTGTCAGGGCATTTGAGGTCAATCTAGCGATTTCCGATTGTCCGTCTGTCAAAAAAATATCAAAAATTTCAAAGAAATTAAATTATCTTATAACAAATAAAAAACAGTAATTACCGTTAATTGGGGTCTATATGAAGACGTGGACCCGCATACAATTTTGGTCATAGGCATATACGAAACATTGAAACATTTCCGGTGAATAATGTAGCAAAAATCATCAAAATACCGAATATAGGGAAGTATAGTTATAAGGGGGCTATATGAAGACCTGAACCTGCATACGTAATTTTTTTTTGTCATAGGCTGTAGTTAGTACATTACAAACTTCAAATATGAAATTTGAATCATTTCCGGTGAATAATGTCGCAACAACATCAACATTCCGATTATTAAGAGGGGTCTAAAATGTATGTATATTTCGAGGTGTCTCAAACGGAATGACAAATTTAATATACCCGCCATACTATGGTTGAGAGTATAAAAAGCTAGGATATTGAATATAGTTGCACTTTGCACACAGCAATATTTGAATAAGATATCGGCCACTACTCGTCCTCGGATCTTTTACATTTTTTAAATTTTCGGATTAGGATTCCTCGGAATGCGTAGATATATATCTCCTTAGATATACAGTGTCTTCCACAATATTGGTGAAAATATACAAGGATTATTTTGGTCGAAAAATGTGTCCTTCAAGGGAGCCACTAAGGACTTCTTTTTGGTCCTTTTTATACCCTACAACACTATGTGTGGGGGGTATTATAAGTTTGATTGGGCCAAAAATTATGTAACACCACGAAATATTGGTTTCCCACATAGGAAAGTATATATGGATCTTCTATCTCGCCGAGCTGAGTCGATCTAGCTATGTATGTCTGTTCGTCTGTCCATGTTAATTTGTAATCACTCTACAGGTCGCAATTATGGCCCAATCTTCACGAAATTTAGAATGGAGGTGGGGCTAGGGTCAGAATAGAACCCTATTTCTTTTTGAGACGATCGCATAATATTTAGGGGTTGAAATGGACCAAAAACTGAAAAAAATCCTGATTTTGCAGTTGCTCTACGGGTCGCAATTATAGACCAATCAAAGCGGAAGTTAGCATGGGTCTAGAGCTTATGGCTGGGCAGAAGCCTTCCAATTTTGATGGTCATAGGGTTATATTTAGTGGGTGAAATAGGCCACAACATTTGTGTTAAATAAAAGTCAAATTTTCCATTAAACCGCGAATATTTTTAATTCCGGCGAAATCACAAATTGACGAACAGGTCAAATCTGACCGTTACGTAGATGCCGATAGTAATATCGGATATATATACCGAAATATATACAAAGTATATATACAAAGGAAGGGGATGTTAGCTAGAATGCTTATATCTCAAGAATGACTGGACCGATTTTGAAAAATTTTGTCAACTCAGAATGCCCTGTTGACATAAAAGAATAAAATCTAAAAAAATCGCTTAAAAATGCCAATAATAATGTAGATTTTGTAATATTTTGTGTCATATTTTTATTTTTTCATATTTTTTATCGCATGTGATTTTTTCAATTTGACTTATAATATTGAAGTGTATATTTTTGTAATATTTTTTCACCTTACAACACAGGTTGGGGTTATTATATATAGTCTGCAATTATCGTCAGATTTCACGAAAATTTTCACAAGGGTAGGGTTAGGCTCAGAAAGGCTAAGTCTATTGTTTTCAAAGATGTCCGCAATATATTTAGGGGTTGAAATGGACCAAAAACTAAAAATGTTCCTGATTTTGGAGCCCTTATAAAGGTCACAAATAGAAACCAAAAGACATGAAATCTCGCATGAAGTTAAAGTTTAGGAGAGCGGGTAGAATGGGCCACTACTTTTGTGTGGAAAAATGCCAGCATTACTTAAAGGCGACATTCGAAATACGCGAAAGGCGAACTTCTGGCTTTTTATGCTGATTTTGTTGACGAATATAGCCAAATATCATAGGCAAGCAAATCATATAGATAAGTCTAAATTTGGAGACACAGAAAGGCCCCTTGCTTTTAGAGATGATTTGAAAATATTTAGGGGTTCAAATTAACCAAAAACGGAAAAAATATTCCTGATCACACAATTGAAGCCAATAAACAGGCCTGAGAAAATAGGTAAGCACAGGGAAGAATTCTGGCATTTTGAATGACCATTGGATTATATTTAGCCTTAAAATGGACCACAAAAACTAACAGCACGACGGAGTGCATAAATATTTGGAAAATGTCCCTGGTCAAAACGCTAAGGGTAATATCTGGGCAGTGCTTCGTGACATAATTTCAAAAGCGAAATCTTCCAAAATGGATTTGGACATGAGGGGGCTTCTAACATATTGTAGTGTTGTATTGTATCATATGGTCGGCCCCGCACGACTATAGCCTTTGCTTACTTGTTTGAATATTCCGAATATGAGGAGGTACCGTTATATTGGGGCTATACGAAGACGTAGATCTGCACAGACAATTTTCTGTAATAGGCTGTAGTATCCATTACGAAACTCAAACACCAAATTTGAAACAATTCCGGCGAATAATATCTCCAGTTTTACAATGCAATAGTAATCTTATTTCCAAATTTCAGCATTCCATTAATATTTATGAATTCAGCTGTATCAATTCACCCAAATAGAAATTGAACCAAATTTGTTACAATTTAGTACTTATCGTGTACATAAGTTTAAATTTCCAAAGAAATCGGAATTTCTTTTCAGGCTTAGAGTGAAATTTTATAAAGAATATTTTTGTCTTTGAAGTCATCCTTCTAAAATGATGCTTTGTGGTAGAATTGTGCATAAACTCATAGGATGTACTTTTTAAAACCCTTAAATGTATTTTTAATATTTATGAATTCCTGGCGTTTAGGTAAGATTTCGACTTTCGATGTACTCTGGAACCTATAGCAGAATTTAGATATATAAATGTATGGTTTGGTTTGGTTTGGTATTTTTCCAACTTACCTCAATACATGCTGATGATATTTGATAATCTCCACAAGATCATCATAGAATTTCTTGCTCTTTTCCACATCCATTGTATCCTTGGCATTTAATCGCGCCAATTCCGTATTGACATATTCAAAATGCATTATAAATTGAGCCACTGTCACAGTGTAGATATGATCCCAGGTAAATAGGCAATTTATGCCAAATAACGTTAATATGGTTTCCGAAACATACATATACGGATAAGTGGTGGGATTCTCTTTCAAGTGAAAGGGAAACCACGAAGCATGTTGATGATATTCATCCAGCAGCGGCTCGCCACTATTCGGATCGTAAAAGACAATATATTTCAGCAAAGGTATTCCAATAAAAGCCGACAGACCCACAACAGCATAGGCAAAGAGAAACCGATGACGTATCAACAGATAACGTGCCAGCTTATGACAATTCATACGATTCTGCAGCAGGCGGGTGCGTGGAAATATCTTGTCCAAATCATTGGTCAGATCCAACATGCTCTTGTGTTTGAACATCACAAATATGCCGCGTATCAAACACAAAAATGCAATGCTCCACACTGCCCCGATTTGCTTCGCCTCACTTAGGCGCTGAGCTCGAATTTCGAATATGATTTTCAAAACATTACAGGCACAATCCACAATCAATAACGTTAGAGCGGCATACAACAGCCGAAGTGATTCGAAGCGAAATGGTTTGTTTTGATTTTCACGACGAAAATCTAAATAAATAATTCTCGTATAGCGCTGCGAGGGTTGTAGCTTAAGCAGAAATTCATCCAACGTATACAGGCGATGTTTTTCCATAACCGGTAACGGACTGAAACTAAAAAGACTTGTTGAGGTTTTTTGAAAAATTTCACATTTCAAATAAGTATGTAGTAACAAGTGTGTAGACCTCTTTTACCACCTCTTTAATGTCAACGATCGTTTAATAGCAGAAAATTATCCAATGTCTGGCGAAATTGGAGAATTTTTTATACAAACATTGCCCCTCCGCCCTTTCTTTTGATAGAGACATTATTGAAAATATTAAAAATACAATCAATTAAGGGTTATAAAAGTGTAATGTAAACAACTGGGTGGAAGAACACACACACTCGGTCACATTGACGAAAAATGTTCAAATATTTAAGCTAAGTGTACTTGATGTGATAGTGTGTCAATGTCAGATTTAATATGAATTAATAATTAAATATCTATTGATTTTTAAGGCAAATATTAGAAAATATTAAAATATCGAAAATATCGATTTGAAAGTATTTTATGCCCTCCACCTCCAATTCCTGAAATTTTGGGTTACAGTTATATAAGCAACAAGTAAAAAAGCTGTAAGTTCGGCCGGGCCGATCTTTTAATACCCTCCACCATTTAATACAAATTTGGCAATTTCCAAAAAAAAAGAAATAAAATCCGTTAAAAATTCTGTTAAAATATTAAAAATACCGAATGCCTATACGACGACGTGGACCTGCATAGGCAACTTTAGTCATAAGTTATCACAATATTTAAATGCGAAACTTGAAGAAAAATCTGTTTATAATGTAGCTAAAATCATCAAAATACCGAATATAGGGGTACCTTTATATGGGGGCTATACGAAGACGTGGACCTGCACAGACAATTTTCTGGCATGGGCTGAAGTATCCATTACGAACTTCACATGCGAAATTTGAAACAATCCCGGTAAATAATGTCGCTAAAATCATCAAAATACCGAATATCAGGGGGTACGGTATATGGGGGCTATACGAAGACGTGGACCTACATGACCCATTTTCTGCTTTATGCTGCAGTATCTATTACAAACGTCAAATACCAAATTTGGAATGATTCCGTTAAATAATGTCGCTAAAATCATCAAAATACCGAATATCGGGGGGTACCGTTATATGGGGGCTATATGAAGACGTGAACCTACATGGCTCAATTTTTGACTTAGGATGTAGCATCCATTACGAACTTCAATTACCAAATTTGAAACGATTCCGGTAAATAATGTCGCTAAAATCATCAAAATACCGAATACCGGCGGGTACCGTTATATGGGGGCAATACGAAGACGTGGACCTGCACAGATAATTTTCAGTCTTAGGCTGTAGTATCCATTACGAACTTGAAATGCCAAATTTCAAACAATTCCGTTAAATAATGTCGCTTAAATCATCAAAATACCGAATATCGGAAGGTACCGTTATATGGGGGCTATATGATAACTTGGACCTACATGGTTCATTTACGAACTTAACCTGCCTACTGGCAAAATATACACGTCTGCAAAAATTTAGCCTTCAATCTCAATTTGTTCGAAAGATAGCGTGATTACAACAGACAGACGGACAGACAGACAGACACACAGACAGACGGACATAGCTAAATCGTCTTAGAATTTTACGCTGATCAAGAATATATATACGTTGTTGGGTCTGACATGAGTATTTCGGGGAGTTACAAACGGAATGACATAATTAATATACCCTCCATAGTATGGTGGAGGGTATAAAAACCTACAAAAAAAAGGATATAATTGATTATAGCTCATACAGTAGGGAAATACCATTACTAGGGGGGGGGATGCTGTTTCCCCTCGATTACATAGTGCAACACAAAAAATAATTACAGAGGAAAATCCCAACAGATTGTGAAAGATTGGAATTTTTTATCGCAATATATCCTAAATAGAGGGGGCAAGTTCACACCCATCTCAACCCCCACTTTTTTTTTAAATTTCCGGACTAATTTTCCTGAAAACTCTAGATTTCAACTTAAGTTCACGTAGGCATTTGTGTCATTAAAATCTATCAGATTTGAGCTGATATTACACTTTTCAGGCACAAATAACGTGAAATCGTATGACGTTAAAAATGGAACTATATACAAATCTAAACCGATCTCTATAAAATTTGGCAATTGCATTTCTAAACTGTATTTGATATATTGCATATTACAGATGTGAAGAAAAAAATAACAAATCGGATAATCTATATATAGGGGTTATAGCTATATCTTAATCGATTTCCACCAAATTTTACATACTTGTTTCTAGGCCTAATGTGGTTATGGTTACTTTCGAATTTGGCTTAATATTACATATTTGTTGCCCAGAAAATTGGCAAATCGGGCGAAGATATACATATATGGGAGCTATATACAAAATTATGACAGGGTTTCTCCAATTCAATAGTGACATTGGCCCAAACAAATTATTTGCGCAAAATATCAACTCGATCGGGCAATAAATGCGACCTGAACTTTGACCACAGTGTGGTGTAGGGTATAAAAACAAGGTTTATTAAGGCCCAAAATATTAATCCTATCGCGATTTTTTTAAATATGTTAAAAACCTTGATTTGACTTAAGATAATTGATTGAGAATGTTTCTGGATGTAATTTAAAGATCTCTATTAAATTTCAAATTTCTAGCCTAGGGGTAGCTTTGTATAAGGTCAAAACTATATACAGGTCTTAACAACGTTTGGCCTAAAGCCCTGGAATTCCTTTTTCGTTTTCGATATGAAGGTGAGTACTATCAAGTTCTCTTAGGGCTTTTAGACTACCCAGACTACTATTGTTTTCAGAAATAAACGAGTTTTTTATTAACAAAAATATATTTTAAAAATAACTTAAAAAGCAGTAAGTTCGGTCGGACCGAATTTTAAATACCCTCCACCATTTGGAACGAATTTGGAAATTTTTTTAAAAAATAAAATCCGTAAAAAATTCATTTAAAATCTAAAAAAATACCGAATATACCCTTATATTGGATTCTATATGAAGACGTGAACCTGCATAGGCAACTTTTGTCATACAAGCCATATTCAAATTCGAAACTTGAAATAAACGGTGAATAATGTAGCTAAAATCATCAAAATACCGTTATACCGGAGCTATACGAAGACCTAGACCTGCATAGACAATTTTCTGTCACAGGCTCTAAATAGGTAATTTGAAACAACTACGGCGAATAATGACGCTAAAATCATCAAAATACCGTTATATGGGGGGCGATACGAAAACGTGTAGTATCAATTTCCGTTATATGGGGGCTATACGAAGACGTGAACCTTCACAGACAATTTTCTGTCTTAGGCTGTAGTATCCATTACGAGCTTCAAATATTAAATTTGAAACAATTCCGGTGTTTAATGTCGCTAAAATCATCAAAATACCGAATATCGGGAGTTACGTTGTATGGGGGCTATACCAAAACGTAGACCTACATGGCCCATTTTCAATACCAAAAGTACTGCAGACATAATATACATTTGAGTAAAATTTTATCAATCTTCTTCAATTCCTTCGGAATCGACATAGAATTTTATGCTGATCAAGAGTATATATACTTTGTGGGGTCTAAAATTTATGCTTTGAGGTGTTACAAACAGAATGACAAACTTAATATGAAGGGTGTAAAAAAATCGGATGAATAATGCAGCTAAAATCATCAATATACCCACACTAAGCGTCAAATTTTGAATAATTAAAAATGCGAAATAAGCATCCGATTCTCTTAAAATTCCACACATCCCAAAATTTTATTTACACAAGATCTAATGTGAAGGTCCACTACTTCTCGTACCTACCCCACAAAAGGTCAAAATGTTCAATATTTATATCACTCATTATTTGCAAATAAAGTTGGCGAGACTTGGTTACCTGAGATCTGATGTGTATATAGAATTTATCGGCTCACTCCATCTGGTGCCCACTATTAATAATTCCAATTATACAATTATTCGTATTGACTTGGAAATAAATGTTAAATTTTCTGATTCCAATATATTTTTCAGTTTAAGATGAAATGAAATACTTCGGTCCACTATATCTGGTACATCACGCACATTTTTACATGTTCCAAATATTATTACATTAATAATGTAAAGAAGAATGAAGTTGTCCGAGTCTTGCACATTTATGTCAGACTTAGGTCAGACACGAAATGGACAACATTGGTCCTTTCCTTTGGAACCTCCCCTAAAGGGTCACCATTTTATATATTTAATATATTTAAATAAACGAACACTGCTATTTTTATACCCTGTACCATTCACAGTTGGGAGGGTATATTAACTTTATCATTCCGTTTGTAACTCTTCGAAATATTTATAATAGACCCTAAAAAGTATATATATCCTGGATCAGCGTAAAATTCTAAGACTATTTAACCCTGTCCGCCTGTTGCAATCACGCTATCTTTCGAACGAATTGAGATAGAAGGATAAAATTTTGCATACATGCATATTTTACCAGTACGTAGGTTAAGTTTGTAAATGAGCCATGTAGAACCACGTTTTCGTATTGCCCCCATATAACGGCACCTCCCGCTATTTGGTATTTTTATGATTTAAGCGACATTATTTACCGGAAGTTTTATTTTAAAAATTCGTATTTGAAGTTCGTAATGGGTGCTACAGGCTATGACAAAAATTTTTGTATGCAGATCCTCGTCTATGTATAGTCTCCATATAACAGTTTTCGTTTATGTGGTAGTTTCCGGAAGTTTTTTGAAATTTTTTAAGTTCCTTCCAAATGGTGTAGGGTATTTAAAGTTCGGCCCGGCCGAACTTAGCTGTTTATACCCTACACCACAAGGTGGTCAGGGTACTATGCCTTTGTGCATAACAGATATAGAACTATAGTTCCTTTTGATGATCTGCATAAAATCACATTCTGAGTCGTCTGTCCATGTATTTTTGTGAACAAAGTACAGTTCGCATTTATTACCCTATCTAGATGAAAATTTGCACAAATCATTTGTTTGACCCAAGAACGAGCCCTATTGAAATTGTAGATAATCGGTCAAAATTTATATATAGCTCCCGTATAGTTCGTCCGATTTGCCTTATCATATCAGCCCGAATAGCATGGAATTTTGCACATACAACCAAATTAGGCCTGAAAATAAATATGCCAAATTTGATCGAAATCGGTTCAGATATAGCTATAGCTCCTATATATATTGTTCATCCGATTTGTTATTTTAGTCCTCCGTAAGCCGTAATATACACTCTGTAACAACAATATTTTGGGAAATATATCAAATACAGCTCAGAAATACATTTGGTAAATTTTATCGATATCGGTTCGGATTTCGATATATCTCCCATATATAACATCGTCCGATTTACCTTTTATTGTGCACCAAACGTCTAATATTTGCCCAAATGGGATGGAATTTGGCACTTACTACGAATTGAGTCTAGAAGCTAGTATGTTAAATTTGGTGAAGATCGGTTCAGATATAGCTATAGATCCCATATATATTGTTCATACGATTTGTTATATTTGTACGATATTCAGGGAAATATATGAAATACAGCTCAGAAATATCTTTGCCAAATTTTATGAAGATCGGTTCATATTTGGATATAGCTCCCATATATATCAAATGGGCAATACAAGTCCGAGTTTAAAAGATACAAATGCTTCGCCATAATTAGCATGTATGATTGAATTCTCCCACCAAAACTTTTAATTGTTATATGGAGCTCTACTAAATTAGCAAACTGGTGTAGAGTATCATAAAGTCGGCCCGCCCGACTTTAAGACTTTCTTTACTGGTTTTTTACTTGTTATTCACTTAAAGCCTGTAATGTTAATTTTTAAGCGATTATATCATTTCTTACCTTTGTTAAGATAAATCTGTGTAATAATCTGTGTAACTACCGGTAGTTAGATTACGAGCGCGTATTACAGTCTACCAATTGACTTTGACTTTTGAACTGGATCAGTCTTCATTTAAATACCACTGAAGCCAACTGTGAACGATACATAGTTTCGTCTAGTCACCTAGTAAGGCTGAATAAATTATCACAGTAAACTTTTAAACTATAATATGAAATTTAACAAGCAAAAAGGGACTATGTTCGGCCGGGCCGAAGTTTTAATACCCTCTACTACGTGGAAGGAACTTGAAAGATATTTAAAAATTCTTAAAAAATACCGTTTAAACGAAAACCGTTATATTTGGGCTATACGAAGACGTGTACCAGCAAAAGTATTTTTTTTTTGTCATAGGCTGTAGTACCGATTTTGAACTTCAAATACGTAATTTGAAACAATTCCGGTGAATAATGTCGCTAAAATCCGAATAAAGGGATGAACCGTTATATGTGGGCTATACGAAGTCGTGGACCTCCAGACACAATTTTCTGTCATTAAGAACTTCAAATATGAAACTTGAAACAATTCCGAAGAATAATGCCTCTAAAATCATCAAAATACCGACTGTCGGGAGGTATCGTTATATATGGGCTACACGAACTTGCATTTTTTGTTATAGGCTGTAGTGGTAGTTACGGACTTTAAATACCAAATTGGAAACAATTACTGTATATAATATCACAGACATGCGGACATCGCTAAATCGCCTTAGAATTTTACGCTGATAAAGAATATATACATACTTTGTTGGGTCTGACATGAGTGTTTCGAGGAGTTACAAACCGATTGACGAATTTAATAAACTCTCCATAGAATGATGGAGGGTATGAAAATTAAAATTATCACAATAATTATTTACAATGATCCTGTAGATTTTGATTATGGCCAGTAATTAATTGATAGATGTAGTTCGCACTATAAACGTGTCAATTTTGACACATGCTCGCGGAAGCGGGATGACAAAGTGTTTTTGCATTGGGAAGAATATATTAAGGAATAATTTAAGTATGAATATATGTACGGAAAATTCCAGAAAAAAGAAGGAAATAGCAATAGTCGGGGGATCGAATTTTTAATACGCCATACCAATCTGGATATTAAGCAGAGGCGTTGGGAACATTTTTATATGTACACTGACTAACGTCCGTAACCTTGTTTATGCTTTACGACCTAGTAAAAAGTAACAAGTAAAAAAGCAGCTATGTTCGGCTAGGCCGAACATTGAATACCCTCCACCATTTGAATGGAACTTTAAATTTTTCAAAAAATTCCGAAAAATACCGTTTAATTGATTACCTTTATACGGGGGTTATACCTGCATAAGTAATTTTCTGTCATAGGCTGCAGAACCCATCAAATTATTAAAATACGAAATTTGAAGCAATTCCGGTGAATAACGTTGCCAAAATCATTAAAATATCGAATAAAGGGAGGTGCCGCATAAAATATGCACTCTGTAACAACAATATTTGGGGAAATATATCAAATATAGCTCAGAAATACATTTTCTAAATTTTATCGAGATCGGTTCAGATTTGGATATAGCTCCCATATATAACTTCGTCCGATTTACCTTTAATTGTGCACCAAACGTCTAATATTTGCCCAAATAAGATGAAATTTGGCACATGCGACCGAATAGAGTCTAGAAGCTAGTATGCCAAATTTTGAAGATCGGTTCTGATATAGCTATAGCTCCTATATATACTGTTCATCCGATTTGTCATATTTGTTACCCACAATCGTAATATGCACTCCGTAACAACGATATTCAGGGAAATATATCAAATACAGCTCAGAAATATCTTTGCCAAATTTTATCGAGATCGGTTCCGATTTGGATATAGCTCCCATATATATTTTTATCCGATTTCAAAAATTAATTGTGCACCAAATGGGCAATACAAGTCCGAATTTAAAAGATACAAATGCTTCGGCATATTTAGTCCTTTGAACTTTAAATTATAATTATAATCATAGCGTGTATGATTGAATTCTCCCATAAAATCTTTTAATTGTTATGCGCAGCTGTACTAAATTAGCAAAGTGGTGTAGGGTATCATAAATTCGGCCCCGCCCGTCTTTAAAACTATATTTACTGGTTTTTACTTGTTTAAATATATTTAAAGTTGCGTTATTAATAATCCAACCTTTTGCACTTAAGGAGTGATCCAATATTGTCCGTTGCCCGATCTAAGAATTACATTTTCACACTTCATCTAATATTAACAAAATATTGGGAAGCGTAAAATTTAAAAAAAAATGAAAACTTATTTCCAAATTTATGGAAATAATCGTTAAGCAATCGCTTTTTCTCTTCAAACTGTCGACACTCTTTGGCGTAGGTGATTGAGGAGTGATTCATACCAGATCTTGTGTTGGTAGAAATATTGGGATGTGGAAAATTGAAAGACAATCTGACGCTTAGTTCGCCTTTTTGTAAGAGATATATTTATTCAAAATTTTGACTCGTTGTGGGGAGGTGGTACTAACCCGATATATTCCATCTTCACACCAGATCTTGTGTTAGTGGAAATATTGAAATGTGGGAGGCTTAGAATGAATAGGAATTAATGCTTACTTCGCCGTTTATGAGAGTTTCGGTTATTCCAAATTTTGACCCATTGTGGGATTACCTGAAGGAGTTGTCCTATGTATTCCATCTTCACACCATTTTTTAGTAGCAATATTGGGATAAGTGAAATTTTAATAAAATTGGATGCTCTGTTCGCTTCTTATAATTTTTTTGGTTATTCAAAACTTTGGATCCTCCGTAAGAGTGGTACCAGAAGGAGCGAAGCCGATATCTACCATCTTCACAAAAAATCTTGCAAAAATAGTAGGACCTGCAAAGTTTGGACGAAATCAAATAATCTTTTCCTCTCCTATGAGGTATATTATTTTCCTTGAAAATTTTGACCTTTTATGGGAGAGGTACCAGAAGGAGTGGACCAATGTTGTCCATCTCTAAACTCGATTTAAGTTTGGCAATAATATTACGATGTACCAAATTGGGACCGAATCGGATACTCTATTCCTGGGTCACTATGCGCACCAGACAGATAGATAGACGGACACCCTTAGATCGACTCCAAATGTCCTGAAATGGATTTGGTCCAAAGAGATCTATGTTTTGAAGCCGTTTTTCGATGAGGCACATTTCTGTAGCCGTATGGCTAAAGGTATAAAATGAGTAACGTATTAAGTACCACCTACAATTTGAAATTTAAAACCAGTAAAGAAAGTCTTAACGTCGGGCGGGGCCGACTTTATGATACCCTAAAACACTTTGCTAATTTAGTAGAGCTCCACATAACAATTATAAGTTTTTATGGGAGAATTCAATCATACACGCTATGATTATAATTATAATTTAAAGTTTAAAGGACTAAATATGCCGAACATCCAAATCGGAACCGATATCGAAAAAAATTTGGCAAAGATATTTCTGAGCTGTATTTCATATATTTCCCTGAATATTGTTGTTACGGAGTGCATATTACGGCTGCGGAAGATAAAAATAACAAATCGGATGAACAATATATATGGGAGCTATAGCTATATTTCTGAACCGATCTTCACCAAATTTGACATACTAGCTTCTAGACTCAATTCATCCGTAAGTGCCAAATTCCATCCCATTTGGACAAATATTAGACGTTTGGTGTACAAAAATAAATCGGACGAAGTTATGTATGGAAGCTATATCCAAATCTGAACCGATCTCGATAAAATTTAGCAAATGTATATCTAAGCTGTATTTGAAATAGTTTCCCAAACAATTGTTGTTACAGAGAGTATATTACGGCTGCGAAGGACAAAAATAACAAATCGAATGAACAATATATATGGGAGCTATAGCTATATCTGAACCGATTTCGATCAAATTTGGCACACTTATTTTCAGGCATAATTTGGTTGTATGTGCAAAATTCCATACTATTCGGGCTAATATTACACGTTTGGTGCACAAGAAAGGCAAATCGGACGGAGATCTATATGGGAGCTATATCTAAATTTTGACCGATTATCTCTAATTCCAATAGGGTTCGTCCATGGGCCGAACAAATTATTTGTGCAAAATTTCATCTGGATAGGGCAATAAATGCGAACTGTACTTTGTTTAAAAAATACATGGACAGACGGACGGATGGACATGCGTAAATCGATTTAGAATGTGATTCTATGCAGATCATCAAAAGCCTGTTACAAACAAATGCACAAAGACATAATACCCTGACCACCTTGTGATGTAGGGTATAAAAAGGGTACTATTTTTGGTACCATTTTTGCCAAATAATATATGTACTTGGGTAAAATAATAATACGTATATTAAATTCGATAAAACTGTACGTACCTAGCAAAAAATCTCATTTGAAAATAACAAGTTTGAGAAGTATATTTTTGTACCGGTAACTACTTACAAAACAACCTATCTTATTTTCACACCGACATGTCATAGGAAGTACGTACTTACCAAACCAGCAACCTGTAGCAAATGGATAAGTTAAAGAACAATCGGTCTATTTAGAACACAAGAGGTTAATTTGTATTTAATTTCATCACACCTTCATTATTTGACTTCTAGTCATAACTATCTTAGTAGAAAATGGTACGAACTGCAAGAGATTTGCAAAAGGCGTTTTCACAACAATAACAACAAATTCCACATTGCGGAGTCTGAAGAAAAGCCATCAGCTCATTAAAGAGATCTTTCCAATTATTTATTTAAATAAAACTTAACAACCAACAAATTATGATTTATCATTATTATTCGAATCACATTTGATTGTGCCTTCCTGCAGAAGTTTGCTAACCTGGCTGGATTTGATGTAGCGCTGAAAATTGTTGCCGATAATCAGCATGAGAAAACGCTCCTTTATATAGGTTGGTAGCACTCTAAAAAAAACAATAATTTAATAAAGCAATATATTTAAATTCCCCTTCAATTTTGTACTCACTCCAATAGTTTATACATATATTTTACGGAACCGGGTATTACGAGCTCATCTTCGCCGGCCAACATACCCTCGACAATGCGACGAGCCACATTAGAACCCGGCGCACCTTGAATACCATTCATTTTAATCAGTTCCTCCACACACTTATTGGTGTTCAAAAATGTTGGCATCACGGTGGTGGCCGTAATATTATGACCAAGTAGCGCAAGCTCCGAACGTAACATCCATGTTAGATGACGTACGCCCGCTTTGGTGGCGGCATACACGCTCATGTTGGGAAAAGCCAAGAGGGCAGAGGCCGATGCAATGTTAACAACGTGACCACGATTAAGTTCCTTCATTTTGGGTAGAAATATTTCGGTTGTCTGGAAAAGGAAAGGAATAAATTAGGTTTTGGAATTTGAATTGAATTATTGCTTTCGGCTATATTGACTTACATAACACACGGACGCAAGATTAACATTAATCATGCGCTTTACTTCCTCCAGTGGTGGCTGGTAAGCGGTGGAAAAGAATAATATCGCGGCATTATTCACCAGAATTGTTGTATCACCCAAATCGGAGGTGACTTTGTCTTTTAACTCTGCAATTTGTTTGTGATCGGAGACATCAACCTGAGATTGAAGAATGAAAATATTAGAAAAAATTGGTTTATGAAAATTCAGAAATCATAACTCTTTCGGGAGATTTTTTAGAGATAAAAGATTTTTGGAAGATAAAGATCTACGGGCAATGGATTTCTTAAACAGATGAATAATTGTCAACTAGGAACAGGAGATCTTTCGAAAACTTTCTAAAGATCGAAGACCCCTCTAAAGGACTTCCATGGAATAGAGCCCATTTCGAGTTATTCTAGAGAGAGAGAGAGAGAGAGTAAATACCTTTTGAAGGGCTTCGATGGAGAAAGGACTTATTGTAGGTCTTCTGGGCACTGTAGACTCAATGGAGACCCCTCCAAAGAACTTCCATGGGCTGAAGACCTTCTCGAATTATTCCACAGAGAGTAAGTCTTCTGTGGACTGAAGTCTTCTGTGGACCGAAGACCAAATAAAGCTCTTCTACTGATAGAAGATTTTTTCTAAACAGAAAACCTTTCCAAGGTCTTCTCCTGAGAGAAGAATATTTTCTATAAACAGAAAACCTTTCAAAAGATCTTTCAGGGTTAAAAGTCTTTCAGGTAAAAAGTAGTTAGAAGTCTTTTTGGAGGTCGCCTGTAGACAGAGGAACTTCCGAAGGTTTATTTTTATAGTCAAAAGGTCTCTTGAGGTTCTTTTATAGACAGAAGACATTTTGAGGGTCTTCTTTATCCAAAAGAACTTTCAGGATCTTCTGTAGACAGAAGAGCTTTTCAAGATATTCTATACACAAAGGATCTTTCGAGGATCTTCTATAGTCAGAAGATCTTTTGAGGGTATTCAATGAAATATTGAAGGTATTTTATAGACAGAGGACTTTTTAGGTCTTAGCCTTTTTGTAGATCTTATATAGACAGAGGACCTTACGAAGGTCCTTTATAGTCAGAAGGACCTTTGCGACTCTTTTTAAAACAAAAGACATTTTGAGGGTCTTCTATAGACAGAAGACTTTTTAAGGATCTTCTATAGACAGAATAATTTTTTGAGATAGTCGATAGAAATATTAAAGGTATTTGATAGATAAAGGACCTTTTAGGTCTTCTATGCTCAGAAAGCTTTTTGAAGATCTTATAGAGGCAGAGGACCTTACGAAGGTATTTTACATTCAGAAGGACCTTTGAAACTCTTCTTCTATAGACAGAAGATTTTTTTTTGTTTTTTTTTTTTTTTGAAAGAAGGACTTTTGAGGCTCTTCTCAAATTCTTTTGTAGACAGAAGAGTTTTAAAGGGTCTTTTATAGTCAAAAAGCGTTTTGCGTTCTAAAGGCAGGAGACTTTTTACAGCAGAGAACCGAGATGAACTTTTTAAGGTCTTCTATGTATAGAGGAGTTTCTGAGGTTCTTCTACAGACCTTCTATAGCCTAAAGACCTTTGGAAGACCATCTTTATTCAGATGACCTTTCCAAAGTCTTCTACATACATAAACATTTTTGATGTTCTTTTTTCCAGAAGTCATTTGCAACGTCTTTGGCAGATGAAGGACTTTTATGAGGATTTTCTGTATCTAAAAAAAAAAAAATAAAATCTTTAAAAATTTTTAGAGAGGGTCTTCTATAGACAGCCCTTTTCAAAGCCTTCAATGTACATAAGATACTTTTAAGGTATATTCCTTCACATAATACTAAATGTAGTGCTTTTCAGTCCTTTAGTGTACTCGCACTTCGAATTTCCAACAAAACCCTTTGGGACATCTACCCTTTGTCACATCAGTGATTCTCATTCCCAATTTCAGAATTGTAGTTCTATTAAGTACTTTTCGTACTTTTTCTTATATTAAATGAAGAGATTTTTGCTCTTTTCGTCCATATTCTACCAAATGGTAGCAAATTTGAATCTCCTCGAATTTCCAAAATAAAAAAAGTTTTGTAAATCTATCCAACACCTATCAGCAACGTTCATTCCATATTTCAAAATTCTAGCTTTATTTCTTTACCAAATACAACATTTAATACCATTTGGTACTTTTCGTACTTATTTAGTACATATTTTCAACTCCATTTCCATATACCAACCCCACTGCTCAAAAAGAGATCCTAATACCAAAATTTCTCATCAGCGAGCCTTATTCCATATTGAACAAATCTAACTCTATCCCTTTGCTGAATAAAATATATTACTTTTTTAGTACTTTTTAGTACACTAATAGTTCACATTTCCAAAAAGAAAAACTTATCTCACCTCTACAAAAGTACATTGACCCATATGGAAGTATTCAAGATTTAAGCTTCTGCCGTTTCACCTGGGTGATGAATCAGTGATCAAAATGGAAAATTCGAAAAATAGTTTCAAGGTCTTCTATAGGCAGAATAGTTTTGCAAAGCCAGAAGACTTCTTCTTTTTCAGCCCTCTTATCTTCTCTACTTTTCTTTTCTCTTTTCTTCTCTTCTAGTGACATAGAATATCTTAAATGTCTTCAACAAATAGGAACCCTTTTTATAGAGAATTCATTTAAACGGTCTCTCTTTAGATGACTGACCTTCTTCAGACACAAAAATCCCCTCAAACGGTCTTCTATCCGTAAAATCTCAACGTAATTACAACAAATATACAAACAAAGATTTGGCAAATTACCTTGTACGCTTTAGTCTTAACATTGTACGTTTCCGCTATGTGCTCAGCTGTTTCTTCGGCCAGCGTCTGCTGAATATCAACGATGGCAATGCGACAGCCGCGTTTGGCCAAATCAATGGCTATTTCTCGACCCAAACCTCTGGCAGAACCTGTTATCTGATAGAAAAATAGAAAACAAAACAGTGATTAACATAAATTAAAAATATAAACAAAATTTACAAATGTATCTTAGCTCCGGCTTAAGAAATTAGTCAAACAAAAATGAAAGTAATTTAAAAATGGAAATATTCTAATTTTTGTTACTTCTAAATGTTGTCTATATTCCAAAAAATTACTATAGCGATGAGCAAAAGAGGAAGATATGACTCGGTTCTTTGTATTTTCTAACGTCGAAATTAAGTACATGTTATTTTCTTATTGTTTTTATTTTTTTTTAATGGATGGACTTCATTTTTTTTTTAATTTTCCCGATTTTTTACTGAGATTTATTGAATGTAATGTCACCTAGAATCTTCGACGACATTGTTGAGCTTCAAAATTTTACAAAAAAAAAAAAAAAAATTCAAGAACGTAAAAAATACTTCATGTTGAAATTTACATTTACATAGAGGCTTTACCAAAAATTAACCGACATGACTCATTTCTTAAACAACTGCTCTTTATTAAAACTTGCGAAAAATAGCTCAAAGTTAATTAAATTTAAGGATTCCAGCCTACCCCTTCACTAAATACCAAATTTAGTACTATTTACTACTTTTCCTACAATTATAGTACACATTTTTAAAACCTCCTCCATATCTTAATTCCAGATATCAACAGAAATTTCAATATCAACTTTGAGGATTCCAGACCTATCACTTCACTCAATACCAGATATAGTGCCATTTAGTACTTTTCGTACATATAGGACGCATTTTTAAATCACCCTCATATCTTAACCCCGGACTCCAACAGTGACGTCTATATCAATTTTTTTGTTCTATTCCATCACCAAATATTAAATTTAGTACTTTTACTACTTTACTTTACATATCCGAAACCACCGCCATATGCCCAGACTACACATGAACAGCGACCCTAATATCAAATTTCATAATTCAAACACTGTCTGTTAGCCCAATACCAAATTGTACTCGTGCACTTGACATACACATTTCCAAACCACGAATAAAAATTTTCAAAATTCCAGCTTCATCACCCTAAACCTGACTGTTCCAAATTTAGTACCATTTGGTACAGTTCGCACATTTCGTACACATTTCCAAAACCACCTTCAAATATCAAATTTACTTTTCCACCTCTATTCTCACACCAGATTTCAAGTTTTTAGCTCAATTCGTTCACATATACCATTTGGTATTATCATTTTGGAAGTTTGGTACCATTTTAGAACTTTTTGTATCTTTAAAGTTAGAGCTTTAAAAAACAATTTCGTACACTGATCCTTCACTCCTTCAGTGCCTCTCGTTCCAAATTTCAGAATTCCAGCTCATTCCGTTTGTCCAATACAAAGTATTAAATTTGTAGTACATTTTGTACCATTTTGTACCATTTTAGTAAGCCAGTCTCATAATACGTCTACGCACCATACGACCGATTTTGACACATATGGCCGAATTCAATCTGGATATAGATATGGCTATAGCCCCCATATATTGCAGCCTACATATAATTACATCTGCCAAATTGCCGAAGTCGGTCCATATTTGGATATAGTCTCCATATATGTCTTCATCCGATTTCACGTTGATTGTGCACCAAATGTGTGATATCAGTCCAAATAAGATGGATTTTGGGGCATTCGACCGAATTTACCCTAGAAGCAAGTACGACAAATTCGATGAAAATCTGTTCAGATTAAGTTATATATCTCCGATATGCACTCTTTTACAGTGAAATCTGGTACAGTTATAGTAAATTTTCCTCCTTCAAATTTAGTTCAAATTGATACCTGTCATAAATAACCTCCATTTGATTTCAAATTATAACTGGTACGATCATGGTAGGTACGGCACATAAATTCCCAAAATAAACGTTTTTTGTTGCGGGTAGTTCTTCTAAATGTGCTTCTGAGTATAGGATGGGTCGATTTCAAATTTATTTCACTATTTTTTCTATGGCATTTTTATGGGCTTTCGATGGCTTCATCTGCATTCACCTTAAACCAAACTGTTCCAAATTTAGTACAGTTCTCACATTTAGTACCGAAACCACTTTCATATATCCAACTTACTTTCCAACCTCGATTCTCATACCCAATATAACCTGCACTCCATCGGTGCCTCTCGTTCCAAATTTCAGCATTCCAGCTCATTTAGTTTGTCCAATACAAGGTATTAAATTTTTAGTGCGTTTTAGTACTTTTTGTAACGTTTAAGCACGAATTTCAATTAAGCCAGTCTCATAACTCGTCTGCACACCATACGCCCGATTTTGGCACATATGGCCGAATTCAAAATGGAAGAACGTGTGTCAAAACCAGTTCAGATATAGCTTTAGCCCCCATATGTTACAGCCTATAAATACAAATTGCCGAGATCGATCCATACTTGGATAAAGCATCCAGATATATATCATCATCCGATTTCACGTTTATTGTGCACCAAATGTGTGATATCAGTCCAAATGGGTTGGATTTTGGCGCATTCGACCGAATTTAGCCTAGAAGCAAATACGACAAATTTGATGAAAATCGGTTCAGATTAAGATTATTCAGATTATATCTCCGATATGTACTCTTTTGCAGTAAAATTTTGTACAATTATAGTAAACTACCTGGCCCGGTCCACGTTGCCGGCCCGTAGTTTTTGTCTATTATGCATATTTGTCAAATCATAATTATTTACAGATATGACTGATATAAGTGTTCACGTACTGGTCGATAAAAAGTGTTTTAAAATGCCTGTACCCATATTTAATCCGTGGGCTTCAATATTTAAACTGTGGGCTTTAAATGTGTGGATGTGCTATACAAATCTATTAAAAAGTATATATCAAACTTATCCCCGTGTAAGGGATCAAATTAATTTTTTGTATGGTAAAAATCGTAGCAAAATTTTCCAGTCAAAGGAGCAGAAATTTGGAATTTACTATATTTTGTACACCTCATATTTGAGGGCTGAATGATTTAAGAATAGCCAAAGTTAATAACTTTTTTTAAAGCCATTAGCACCTCAGATTGTGCATTAGAGTCCTCATAAGTCCCCCCAACCATGTCGGCCTGTTTGTCCGCCAAAAGGTGGACTTGAGGGGGTACTATTACATGAAGAAAATTCTAAAATTTGTAGATATTTTGAAATTTTTGTGTAAGATTTTCACCCCCAAATACACATTTTTGGTCAAATCCTTTGAAATATAAATAAAATCAGGAGGTACCTTTATATGGGCACTACTCCGGAACTTCGACCTACATTGAAAACTTTCTTCTACCCCTTATAATCCAAGATGACAAATAGAGGCCAAATCAAAAATATAGCAGAACAACATAGCATGCAACATAAGTAAAAATAGTTTTATCCACCTCATAATTGAGGGCAGGATGATTTCAGAATAGTCAAATATAACTACGATTTTACACCCATTACCGTAAGATGGGAATTAATTTTATTTGTCATTTAAATTGTAAGTTGGAGATCCCATAAAGTCCACATTTTTCAACTTGGTATAATTCAATGACGATTCAACAAATATTCGGTCCCGTGCTACTTTCTTATATTTGTAATTTGTTCATGTTTTCATAATTTATTTCATATAGATGTACATCCCAAATCTACGTTCCCAACCAATATTCTCTTGGGGGTTACAAATTCAGTAGAATACAAAATTTTCTTTTCTGACCCCACATTAGATCTGAAAGTGGACTTGGGGATACTCCAATGTGGGGACTTTACTTAAATAAATTCCTATGTGAATGTGGTCAAGACCAATATCGGCCCTACTCTGAAAATTTCAAATTTTATGCGAAGAAGTTCTCCTTAGAAACAAAGATGCCAAATAAGGGCCAAACAATGAAAAAAGTGGCCAAGACTCCAAAAATAGCTTTAATCATACAACGGTTATATAAATATGAAATCAGGTTGTACCCTTATCCGTCCGTTGGGAAGAATTTTTGTAAGGATAGAAATCTTACTAAAAGTCCCATTCGTTCTACTATTTTGCATTTTGAGCTCTCGTTGTACGGATTATTGTCACATGAAAGAAGTAGGTTCACCCTTTAAAATGAACCCCATTAGGCTTTTTCGGTCATTTTTGTTTGTTTAAATTTGTTCGTATCTTCCAGCTGAACCGCGTTATAGGCCCTGGAGTTAACATCGTATTTCGCAAAAAAAATGTATTTAGTGAAAAATTCGGTGCTACTTCCATGTAACCCGCCGTCAATTACAGTTCTCAAGAAATCAAGTCAATTAAATAAATTGGTATTAATATTCGAATTCAAAAATAAAATATAAAATAAATATAAAATAAACAGTACAAATGTACATTAGAAACAAGTAAGCAAAGGCTAAAGGATATTTGCCTATATTCTTCAACGAAATCAGGGTTAGACGCCAGAAGTTCGCCTTTTGTGTATTTTTGATTTCGCATGCAAGTTTTTTTCTGCGTGTCGATAGAATGGAAATGTTGGTATTTTTTTCACGCAAAAGTAGTGGTCGATACTACACGTTGTCCTAAACTCTAATTTCATGCCAGATTTCGTGTCCTTTGGTTTCTATTTGTGACCTTTATAACGGCTGCAAAATCAGGAACATTTTTATTGTTGATCCATTTCAACCCCTAAATATATTGCGGACATCTTTGAAAACAATAGGTCTAGCCCTTCTGAGCCTAACCCTACCCTTGTGAAATTTTCGTGAGGATCGAAAGATAATTTCAATCTGTATACAATAACCCAAGCCTGTGTTGTAAGGAGAAAAAATATAACAAAATGTACACTTCAATATTATAAGTCAAAATGAAAAAATCGCATGCGATAAAAAATATGAAAAAATAAAAATATGTCACAAAATACCAGAAAATCTACATAAACAACATAACATGCATCTTTTCATGCGATTTTAATAGATTTTATTCTTTTATGCCAGGAGGGCATTCTGAACTGAGAAAGTTTGTCAAAATCGTCCAGCCATTCTTGAGATATAAGCATTCTAGCTAACATCCCCTTCCTTTGTATATACAAATTGTATATATTTCGCTATATCTACGTAACGGTCAGAATTGACCTGTTCGTCTATTTGTGATTTCGCCGGGATTAAAAATATTCACGGTTTAATGAAAATTTTTGAATTTTTTCAACACAAAAGATATGGTCTATTTTACCCGCTAAATATTACCCGATGACCATCAAAATTGGAAGGCTTCTGCCCAGCCCTAAGCTCTAGCCCCATGCTAATTTCCGCTTTGATTGGTCTATAATTGCGACCGGTAGAGCAACTGCAAAAGCAGGAATTTTTCAGTTTTTGGTCCATTTCAACCCCTAAATATTATGCGATCTTCTCCAAAAGAAATAGGATTCTATTCTGACCTTAACCCCACCTCCATTCTAAATTTCGTGAAGATCGGGCCATAATTGCGACCTGTAGAGTGATTACAAATTAACGTGGACAGACGGACGGATGGACATACATAGCTAGATCGACTCAGCTCGGCGAGATAGGAACATCCATATATACTTTCCTATGTGGGAAATATTTCGAGGTGTTACATAATTTTTGGCCCAATCAAACTTATAATACCCCCAACACATAGTGTTGTAGGGTATAAAAAGTAAGTCAAAATGGAAAAAAATCATGTAAAATAAAACATTACTATAGTACATTTCAAAAGTCAAAATGAAAATGTTAATATATCACATTTTTACGCGATATTATCCTTTTCGGACAGGAGACAATTCCGAATTTGTATGAATCGTTAAAACCAGTCCAGCGGTTCTTTAGTTATAAGCGTAGTAACTAACACAACTTTCTTTTATATATATATAGATTTGACTCCTTCAAATTTAGTTCAAATTGATACCTGTCATACATAACATCCATTTGTTTTCAAATTATAACTGGTACGATCATAGTAGGTACGGCACATAAATTCCCGAAATAAAAGTTTAAGGATATTATAAGGATGTATTATATAAACGGCCCACCAGACTTTTCATTTTTATTCACTGGTTTTTCTATGCCATTTTCATGGGCTTTCGAAAGCTTCATCTGCATTCTTCACCCAACTTCACTGGTATTTTCAATTTAAAATGAAATTTGTTCGAATATTGAGGCCTGATACATAAAAATAATTTTTGGAATTTTTGTCATAAAACATTGAAATAGGCCACAGTATGTGGGGTGTTCACTTCCCAGCATCTGAGGTATACATTTTTGGTTATGGCTTTACTTGGTGGATATACTGGAAATATAGCCTCACTTACTATTTTGAGTACCATTATCACTATATTATTTACATGTTATTATGTAACGCATATTGTTTAATATAAAATGCATGCACATAAGTATTATTAGGAGTTACAGCTTTTTTACTTAGAGATTGACATATATCAACAAAATAGTATATTGAGCTGATGAAGCACTTAAATATTTTGAACCATGTTAAATTTTGCATAGAAATTTAGCACTGATATCTGATGAGCCTTTTGCAAATAAATGTCAATGCAGTTTTAATAATTTTTGTGAAAAATTCTTCTTAATTCAGAAGTTCAAATTTCAATCCATAAGTATCACATTATTTTTTCAAAATTATTTTTTTCTAATGTGTGACACTATTTTAGTTTATGAACTATATTTTTCACAAAAATTAATTAGTAATTTATTTTTTTTTTTTTTTTTTAATTTAAAATTTTTTAACATTTTCATTACCACTGCCACTTCATTGCTCAGCGAAACACTTGGTGTCTTGGGTCGTAACCATTTCACCACTTTATAGACCACGGATACCACAATAATCGCTGGATATACCGCAAGCAGGGCTATCAAAGGCAATTGATTTATAAAAAAGCTAAAAATCCAATTGTTGCTAATCATTGTTGTTATTGTTTTATTGCTTTTATTTGTTTTTATAATCTCCGTTTAGAGTTCAAAATTGTGTGCGTTTTTTTATTGTTGTTGATAACTTGTCTAATAGTTTGATCTGTTTGAATGTAATGTATAGACAATATTAAAAGTCGAATCGCAGCATTGCTTCTATTTATAAACCTTGGTGAGGCGGTCAACGAGAAGCCAGCTCAAATGCTTCGATGCACTATTGGGGAGACACGCTTTTGATAATAACAATAATATAAACGTTTTAAAATAGAACATTGATAACGAAATGAGATTTTGTTCTCTTAATTTGAAGCTTTGAATTCAAGTCGAACTGATATCTCTTTTTATGTTAATGAACAAGCTATCGGACTTACAAGCATGTTCCTAACGCTATCGGCTTACACGTGTTGAGGTAAAGTAGTTGTTGTTGTAATAAATTAGAATATAATTAAAGTTTAGTTTATCGTTTTTTCTGATGCGTCGCAGTGACTGAGATTGAATTTTCTATGTAAATTTCAAAAGGTAGAATATTGAAAATAAGAATTGCTATTTTCAAATTTCAGAGAGGGAGAGTTGCGCGGTAATAAAGAAAAAAATATTTTTTTCAAAAAAATTTTCGAAAACAAAATTTCGAAAAATTTTCGAATTTCGAAAAAAATGTGGGTTGTACTGATTTGAATGCGGTTTGTGCTAATTTTTTCCGATAATTTTGTTTTCAATATTTTTATACCCTTCACCATACATAGTATGGAGAGTATATTAAGTTCGTCATTCCGTTTGTAACTCATCCAAAATATCATTTAAGACCCAACAAAATATATATAAATATATTCTTGATCAGCGTAAAATTCTAAGACGATTTAGCCACGTCCGTCCGTCCGTCTGTCTGTTGTAATCACGCTACAGTCCAAACGAATTTAAAAGACACAAATGCTTTGTCATTGATCCTTTGAACTTTAAATTATAATTATAATCATAGCGTGTATGATTAAATTCTCCCATAAAAACTTTTAATTGTTATGCGGAGCTCTACTAAATTAGCAAAGTGGTGCAGGGTATCATAAAGTCGGCCCCGCCCGACTTTAAGACTTTCTTTACCGGTTTTTTTTTTTTTAAATTCGAACTAAAAATGTATGAAAAGTACTAAAAAGCACTATATTTGGTACCATTTGCTATTTGCTAAATCGTCCGTCCGTCCGTCTGTCTGTTGTAATCACGCTACAGTCCAAACGAATTAAGATAGGAATTTTGGCATAGATCTGTCTTTTGTCTGCAGGCAGGTCAAGTTCGAGGATGGGCTATATCAGTCCACGATATCGTATAGGCCCCATATAACGGTACCCCCCGGTATTCGGTATTTTTTATTTTAGCCACATTTTTTAATGGAATTGTCTGAAATTCCTCACAAGGAGTCCTTTCGGAGTACTTTACCCCCTGAAAGAGAATTATCTATATAGGTCCACGATATCGTATATCCCCCATATAACGGTACATCCGATATTCGGTATATTGATGATTTTAGCCACATTTTTTAACGGAATTGTCTGAAAATCCACACAAGGAGTTCCTTGTGGGTACTTTATTCCTTGGAAAAGAATTATCTATATAGGTCCAGATGAAATTGTGCACAAATCATTTATTTGGCTCAAGGACGAACCCTATTGAAATTGGAGATAATCGGTCGAAATTTAGATATAGCTCCCATATATATCTTCGTCCGATTTGCTTTTTATTGTGCACCAAACGTGTAATATCAGTCCGAATAGTATGGAATTTTGCACATACAACCAAATTAAGCCTGAAAATAAGTATGCCAAATTTGATCGAAATCGGTTCAGATATAGCTACAGCTCCAATATATATTGTTCATCCGATTTGTTATTTTTGTCCTCCGCAGCCGTAATATGCAACATGTAACCACAATATTTGGGGAAATATATCAAATACAACTCAGAAATACCTTTGCTAAACTTTATCGAGATCGTTTCCGATTTGGATATAGCTTCCACATATAACTTCGTCTGATTTACCTTTTATTGTGCACCAAAACTCTAATGTTTGCCAAAATGGGATGAAATTTGGCACTTACGGCCGAATTGAGTCTAGAATCTAGTATGTCAAATTTGATGAAGATCGGTTCAGATATAGCTATAGCTCCCATATATACTGTTCATCCGATTTGTTGTATTTGTTACCCACGTTACCCACAGGGAAATATATCAGAACTGTATTTGCTAAATTTTATCGAGATCGGTTCCGATTTGGATATAGTTTTCATATATATCTTTATCTGATTTCAAATTAATTGTGCACCAAATGGCCAATACAAGTCCGAATTTAAAAGATACAAATGCTTCGGCATATTTAGTCTTTCGAACTTTAAATTATAATTATAATCATAGCGTGTATGATTGAATTCTCCCATAAAAAATTTTAATTGTTATGTGAAGCTCTACTAAATTAGCAAAGTGATTTAGAGTATCACAAAGTCGGCCCCGCCCGAATATTTTTGAAATTATTAAAGTTCCATCCAAATGGAGGAGGGTATTAAAACTTCGGCCCAGCTAAACTTAGCTGCTTTGTTACTTGTTAGAAATTTATTGGAGAGAAAAGTAAAATTTTGTTCAATTGTATGAATCTTTCATATGTAGGGTACCTATTTTCGGTGTGTATTGAAATTATTCGTTCAATTTATCACTTGAAATTAAGAAATAGAAGTCTTGAAGTAAAAACTATCTATTAATCTATTATTACAAGGTGACCAAATTTGCCTAGCGATTCCGTATCCATTTATCGTATGTTATAAAGGGTGTCCCAACTAGAACATAATAGTGAAATCGTAAATAGGTACGAGAAATGATAATCTTTTTTTTTTTTTTTTTTTGCCTAGAATCGAAGAACTGAATACGGAGGGCATGTGGTTTCATTAAGTCAGCGATGCAAGTCATACAATCAGAGAAATAATTCTATTGCTACATCCGGCATTTCCCGGTCATGTTTTTTCACGTTTTGGAGACCAGATTTGGACACTCAGATCGTACGATTTAACACCGTTAGTTTTTTTTTTCTTTGGGAATTTGTGAAGTCTATGGTTTTTAAGCCGACGACGACTCAAGCCTTAAAATTTGAAATTGGACACTTCATTAATGAGATACCGCAGCATTTATGCAAAACGGTCATTGAAAATGTCTATAAAGATCACATGTGTGCCAGCAAAGCCGCAGCACCATCTTTGCGATATCTTGTTCCATACATAACCTCATTCTATCCACTTTACGATATTATAGAGTTTAACAATTTTGTATTCTTTTTGTTTTTGTGTTTTATAAAAAAATTAAAATTTGCATTATATTTGTGACACCCTTTAGTTACACGGCGAATGTTTAGTTAATGTAAATACGTATTTTTCTTCAAGGGAAACAGGCTTGAAATTAAGATCAATGATCATCGGTCATAAAATTATAATTAATAATTTCTATAATGAAACTATTTTTATTTAATTTTAAATTAGCAATTTCAGTCTACAAATCAAGGGTCACAGTTGTTATACCCCCCAACTGGGAAAGGAGGGAATATTAAATTAAATTTTCCTCATAGACCCCTCCACCATGGAAAGGAAGGTATATTGAATTTATCATTCCATTTGTAATATCTCTACATATTCGTCGTAGAACATATAAAAAATATATTTCATGATAAGCATAAAATTCTATGTTGATTCGACGATGTCCGTCTGTCTGTAGGTATGTCTGTCCCTCTGTTTGTTTATTGTAATCACAATACAAAATATTTGACATAGAGTTTTAAAATTTGGCACAATAGTTCGTCTTGTATCTTGGATGGTTGGTACTAAAAATAAGATATATCGGTCCACGTTTTTGGATATAGCCCCCATTCTGCCTCTTTCCGATATTCGGTATTTTAATTATTTTTGCCACATTTTTCCACGCAATTATTCCAAATTTGATATTAAAAATTTGTAACGGGTTGTCTCTCTTGTAGCAGAACATTGGTTTTACGCTTTACTATATCCTTCATATGACCGTACCTCCTGATATTCGATATTTTAAAATTTTTCCATATATTTGCGCGGATATGTCTGTATTCTGTATTCGGCATTTTGATGATATTGGCTACATTATTCACCGGAATTGCTTCATATTTCGTATTTGAAGTTCGGAATCGATACTATAGCCTATGACAGAAAATTACTTATGCAGGACCAAGTCTTCATATAACCCCCATATAACTGTACCTCGCTTTTTATACCCCACACCGCAAGGTGGCCAGAGTATAGTGTATTTGTGTAACAGTCAAAAGGAAACGAGATAGATCCATAGTTCCTTTTGACGGTCTACATAGAATCACATTCTGAGTCGATTTATGCAGAACAGTTCGCATTTATTGTCCGATCCAGATGAAATTTTGCAAAAAAATTTTGTTGGCCCAAGGACAAACCCTATTGAAATTGAAGATAATCGGTCAAAATGTAGATACTGCTCCCATATATATCTTCGACCGATTTGCTTTTTATTGTGCACCAAACGTGTAATATTAGCCCAAATATAATGGAATTCTGCACATATGACTAGATTAGGCCTGAAAATAAGTATGTCAAATTTTATCGAAATCGATTCAAATATAGCTATAGCTCCCATATATATTGTTCATTCGATTTGTTGAATTTGTCCTGCCCAGTCGCATTATGCACTCCTTAGTAACGATATTCTGGGAAATATATCAAAAACAGCTCAGAAATACATTGCCGAATTTTATCGAGACCGGTTAGAATTTGGATATAGCTCCCATATATATTTTTATCCGATTTGAAGTTAATTGCGCACCAAATTGGTAATACAAGCCCGAATTGTAAAGGCACATATAAGGCGCATAAGGCGCATATTTAGTAGAAATCGATTCAGAGGAGGATATTCCTCTCATATATTTGTGCCTTCGGACTTTAAATTATAACTATAATCGTAGTTGGTATGATTTAATTCTCACAAATTTCCCATAAAAACTTTTATTTGTTATGTGAAGCTACACTAAATATGCAAAGTGGTGTAGGGTATCATTAAGTCGGCCCCGCCCGACTTTAAGACTTTCTTTGCTGGTTTACACTTTATTTTTGTTTTTG